CCCCAAAACCCCAAAACCCCAAAACCCCTATAAAAGGTGAAATTATTGATGATCATTGTATTTAATATCTAAATGGAATCCATTTCTGAATTATCGCCTTTATCAGCTGTCTCTCCTATAGATGGTAAGAGGTCCTATAACATATCATAGGGAGGTACAGCAAGCAATCTGAATGCCTTAGACCATATTTCAGCGAATATGCTCTTATCAAGCACAGGTAAGACCTTTACATGATCTCTAGAGTCCTGGTAGAAATCAAATGGTTTGAATTCATGATTCAAAGAGGAATTTTCACCCTAGATTCTGAGGATGGTTTGCTTATTATTTCATCATGTAGACTACAAGCAATTCTTAGAAGACATCATCATCCAATTTGACTGTGCAGAGGCCGAGAAAGTTAAGGAAATTGAAGATGAGACCAAACATGATGTGAAAGCAGTTGAGTATTACCTTAAAGACAAATTCGACTCTCATGAAGCTCTGAAGAAAAAGAAAGAATTCCTACACTTCACCTGAACTAGCGAAGATATAAACAACCTTAGTTATGCTTTGATGCTTAAGAACGCCGTTGAGGAAGTAATGCTGCCCAAGTTGGAAGGCTTGATTGAAAAGATTAGAGAGAAAGCACATGAGTATGCAGATATCCCAATGATGAGCAGAACTCATGGGCAATCAGCCACTCCAACGACTGTTGGAAAAGAGCTTGCAAATTTCGTCTTCAGAGTAAACAGACAGATCAAAGTGATCAAAGAAATAAAACCTCTGGGAAAATTTAATGGAGCAGTCGGAAACTTCAATGCTCATGTGGTTACCTTCCCAGATATCGATTGGGAGGAACTTGCTCAGAGCTTTGTTGAGAGCCTTGGAATTGAGTACAACCCATACTCAACACAAATTGAGCCACATGACTCTTTAGCTCAGATCTCCAATGCTTTCTCACTTGCTAATACCATTCTGATTGATTTTGCAAGAGATATGTGGGGATATATCTCATTGGCTTACTTCAAGCAGCAAACAGTCGCTGGAGAAGTAGGATCATCAACTATGCCTCATAAAGTGAATCCTATCAACTTTGAGAATGGTGAGGGAAACCTAGGACTTGCAAACTCTGTATTTGGATTTTTCACCTCAAAATTGCCAATTAGTCGATTCCAAAGAGACTTAAGTGATTCTACAGTGATGAGGAACATTGGAGTTGCTTTTGCTTACTCTATTGGGGCATATACTGCTCTAGGAAGAGGTCTAGCTAGGATTGAAGTAAATAAAGAAACAGTCTTAGAAGAATTAGACTCTCATTATGAACTCTTAGCAGAAGTAGTCCAAACAGTGATGAGAAAGTACGAGTTGGAGAACCCTTACGAAAAGCTCAAAGAATTCACAAGAGGAAAGACTGTAACCCAGGAAGACTTTACCAAATTTATAGACTCTTTATCTCTCCCTGAGGATGAAAAGGAGAAGTTGTTGTCACTTACTCCTTCCAAATATGTTGGATTGGCAGGCAAACTTGCAAAGCAGGTGTAATCATTGAAACGCATATCTCAATAATTTTTTCCAAATAGGGGTTTTGGGGTTTTGGGGTTTTGGGGTTTTGGGG